CTTAGCACACTCAGCACACAGCAGCTACAAGCATGGTGGGCAATATAGTTATACGACTCTTTTAGATTTACACTGCATGATAGCAGCAACCTAAACTGTTAGTACTTCCATTGCTGTACAGCAAACAATAACTGTTTATAATTAATTCGACAAACTTTATTTTTCAAATTGTGAACAAATATGGTTTAAAGCAGCTGTCACTGCCACAGTGTAACTCTCAGTACGCATTAACCTGAAGTTGCCATCAAACTGACCAATCACATTAGGACTCCGTCCTTTATTGGGCTCCGCCTCCAGACCAATGACTGCTCCAGACAGTCAAAAGTGAGTTGATTCTGCAAGCAGGATTTCTCTCCGAGTGCAGAGAGCTACCTGTGAGAACATGAAACAGCAGCAATGCATGCGATAGCTTCTTTGTGCTTAGGGCTGCTGAGTTCTAACCGCAAGGAAATGTGTAGGAATAATGTAAATCCTCCACCTACATTCAGAGGACGCCCTTGTAGGAAGCAAACTTACTGTTGTCACTATTTCAAGTGGTCATTTTCTGATAAATTTCCATACAGTCAGAATTCATATTCAATCCAGAGCATCCTTCTTATTGCACGAGGCTGTAACCATCGAAAACCTTGAATCTGTCCATTACCATCCATGTTGGGAAGCCTAACAGTGACACCTTGTGGACAGAAGGTTAATCAACATCATATGGCTGGTTGCTCTTTCAGCTACAGCAGCACAGAGGCCGGTTAAGCTTGAAATTCACGCAGTCGAATTGCATTATTTAGTTATAAGTACACACACACACACCTATGTTTTCAGTAAATGTTTTCAAGCAGTACCATGGAGAAATTATTTTTCATTGTCCCCTTACTGAGACAAGTATACTTTTTACCTGTTTTCTTTTCTGAAGGTCCAGATTATAGTAGCCACGGAGAACCTGCTTAGGTTTGGTTGCATACGTTGCCCTGCCTCCCTTATAGTCATACCATGCACCAGAACATGATCTATGACAGTTGAATTTGCATTTTACTAGGCTTATATACTGTTTACTAATTGAGTTCACTGATTGGACACTTTTCAATTTTGAGTGGTAGTGTGTAAATGATGAAAACAGTGTGTTAGTTGTGTTAAACTTCTGTAGCCTGTGTGCACCATTCTGGGTACAAGTGCACCACACTGCTAAATGTGTTTTGTGTTTGAGAATGTGTTTAGAGTTTTGGTAAATGGGAGATTCAGATTTGCAAATTGTGTCCTAACCAGATGAATAGTGTTTAAAATTTTAACAACTGTGGGATTGATTTGATGAAAGAGTTTTGGTAGTTTACAGTTTAGTTTTTACAATGGGATTTAGTGTTTTATCAATTCAGAAAAACTGTAGATTGATGCGATTCCTTAGCAGGTTTGTAGTGAAGGAATTCGATGCTAGCGATATAGCCTTAAATCTTTATTCATGATCTAAGTGTTTCCTGTTCTTGATCACAGAAACCACACCACATCACCCCATCACATCCTCCTACACTATGCCATACCTCCTTGTACCATCAATCTGAATGTAAATAAACCACTCCTCTTACAATCTTCTCCCTGGATGTCAGCCTCTCCTTCTGACCGAGGATAACTATTTTAGCACAGCCCAGCATTGAATTGACAAACACCAATCTGTACAGTCAGAGTAAAACAAAATTTCAGTGCTACAAGATAAAGTTCAGGGAAAGTTTTTTCATGGTTCAGAGGCTGCTCAGCAGAGGATGATTCAAAGATGAAATGAACTGTTATAGTTTCTAACTTTGCTAGATAGTGTGTGGAACAAACCTCCTGACAAAAACTGCCAGAAATCTTAAAAGTCAACCAAACACACACAAAGTGTCAGGGCTGTAAGCAAAAAACAAATCAGACTGTGCCCCCCAAAAAGCTATTAACCCGTGTGGTTATTACAGTAAACACTGCATTCTTTTCTCTGTATGTTTTACTTTATAAACTGATTTATTGTGAGAAACAAAATAAATGTTAGACTCAAGGTGTGAAAGAGAACTGTGAAAGCTTTTGTACTGCAACGGTTTTAAAAGAGTACCTGAACTGTTCATTGACTGAGACGACTCTCAGTGCCCCCTGACTGAAGTCTCTCCTCATGCATGGGAAATAAAGGTGTTGTTTTTTTTTAATGGCTCATCATGTCTGGAGGCTTTGTTAGTGAACTTCCACAACAGTTCAGTGACATCACGAACAGGATGGTCCAGTGTTCTCACTGAAGGACGGCTCTGGGACGGCTGATCACCCCGAGATAGCTAAACGCTTCGGTCCTGCCGGCTGGTTAAAGCAAAGAAAAAGGCGGAGTTGCAGGGCCGTGTTTCAGAGACCACCAAGGTCATCTTGACAAATCGAGGGGAAACTCCTGCAGAACAGTGAGCTGTATCTACCCTATATACAAGTCATGAGAGTTTTGTGCCTGGCCGAGGGGGAAGCAGCTGCTGACTCCAGAGTTCGAGTCTCCGAAGGGAAAATCCTGGGGTTCAAGTCCCCAGGCCTGTGTTTGGTTCTGGTCCATCACAGGGGACAGTGGTTTGAGTCCACTGTTGATAATCATTTCTGCATACTACAGTGCGTGAAGTGATGGTTTTTTATTACTTTTCTGCTGGGAAGGGAAGAAGCCCATTGGAGGGGACGCTCTGAATGTAAATATGGGATCTAGATCCAGTAAGGCGGCAGACATTCCACCGGGCGGCCAGGGACAAAACTTAATACTTGACAGTATGGTTTAGAAATGTGGGTTTGGGTGTATGAAATATGTTGTTAAGTGGCAAAAAGAAAACGGGTTTCCTGAAAAAGAATCGCTGAGTTTTAACCAGTTAAAGAAAGTAGAGGAACAGTTGCGGGAAGAGGAAGAAAAGCTGTTAAAGAAAGGGAAAGTTAAGACGGTAGATTTGTGTAGGGTAAGCAAGGAGAAAGAATGTTTGAAAATGTGGATGATAGAAGCAGAAAGGAGGGAAACGAAAGCAGCTTTGAAAGAATTGCCTAGAGAAGTGCATGTTAATGAAAGAGAGAAAGGAAGGGAGGCTGACGCGGTGTCCACCTCAGCGCCTCTTCCGTATAACACGGAGAACAAATCATTTCCCTGTTCACGCACAGTTTGTGCATCCCCTTGTGCTCCTGTACAGGCTGCTTTGCAGAGCTTGAAAGCTGATGCCGACCTGGACTCCTTTCCCCCTAGATCCAGGGGCGGATCTAGAAGGGTGGCATGGGGTGGCAAGTGCCACCCTAAAATGCTCCCTTGCCACCCCAAGTGCCACCCCAGTTTTGCATATGACAGTGTTGTTTATTAAAATAAGGTAGCATTAACAGTTTGAGCGTAGTTACAGTCAACAGTGAATATAAATGCTAAAACTGAATATATTGCATAGTGTTCCCCCCTGCACCAGTAACAAATGGTTCAGCCCATAGCAGGACCGGCTTTTTTCTTGTTTTCAGTAACAAGCGATGCTTATGATTGTGCCAAAGCACATTTTGAACAACACCATGGGAATTTCGGATTTTACACAGGTGGTTGGATGTTAACCCTCCGTGGTCCACGGACACGCTCCACCTCCAAATCACATGACTGATGTAAGCTGACATAGCAACAAGCTACAACCACACTGAGTCTCTATTTCAGCCCACATTGAAAGTTCGGACTTCAATGTTTTTAAATTTTAATTACAGGCCAGTAAATCCAGAGTTATGATAATAGATATAAGTCATACTTCTTTCTAAACACTGTCGTCACGTTTTTGTGTGTGTGTGTTTTAAGCATTTTCTAAGGACAGCGTGAAAACAGTAAAGAAAGGGAAAAAGCCACCGCTTTCCTGTTGGTGGAAAAATGTACCATGTCGACCAATTTTTAAAAAATAAGTCAACACGTGGGATTTGATTGTTTAGGAAGAGGGAAAAGTTTTGGGAGTGACGGTAATGGCAGACAGACAGAGCAAGCGAGTGAGAGAGAGTTTTTAGATGTGGGAGATTTGTGACGTTTAGTGTGGAGTGTATACTTAGTGTGTTGTGTTGTCTTGTGTAGTTGTTCTGTTGTGTAGTCGTTTTGTTTTGTGTGTCAGTGAGGGCACTAATTAATGTCACAAAGGCACATTTGTGGATGTGACATAGATGTGACAATAGTCAAGCTTTTATACTCTCTATGGTAGCGAGCTTTGTAGCTGCTCTCAATTAAAGTCACTTACTGACAATCACTGTTCAAGTAAAAACATAACAAGACTAAATTAATCCAAAATGAAGAAAAGGAGACCATGAGCTGCTCCAATAACCCAACAAATTAGTGGTGATGTTGTTATAAAATCTGGTCTGAAGCCCAGAATAGATTTGTGAGACATGTCTGGAATAAATCATGCAAAGTAAAGAAAGGTAAAGTGAGTTAGCATGATAATTGTAAAGGCAGTAGTAATAAGTTAATATTTAGCAGGTATCAGATTAGATTATCATGCTAAAATGTACTTTTAGCACATACAGCTGGATTGGATTTAACGAAGACACTCATTTCCATTGTTTATACTCACTTTATTAGGTACACTTTGCTAATAATAGCCTGGATCCCAGAACTACCTTAATCATTCATGGCATAGATTTACCCATAAGAACCCACGCCCCTGTATACATTGAGGAAAGGTTCTGTTGAAGTTTCAAAATTGACTCTCCCAGTTTTCCTGACAGTAAAAATGGGTCTTGGCTCTTATTGGTTAAACAGGGTGCTGGAAATGTTCCTCAGAGGTTTTTGGTTCATACTGACATGACAGCATCACAAAGTTGCAGCACATCAATGATGTGAATCTCCTGTTCCACCGCATCCCATCAGGCTCTAGTGGATTGAGATCTGGTGACTGTGGAGACCATTTGAGTAAAGCTAAATCATTATCATGTGCAAGAAACCAGCTTGAGATGAATTGAATTTTGTGAGACAACACATTATTGTGGAGGCAGCCTTCATAAGATGGGTACACTGGGATCAAAAACAGATAGACATGGGCGGCAACGATACTCAGGTATTCAGTAGTACTCATTTGGCATAGCGGGTTAGCTTGCAGTAGTGCATGACTGGTGTGCTCATCCGCAAGTTCAGCATGTTGTTTGCTCAGAGATGCTCTTCTGTGTACCTGTCAGGGGTTGTGGTGTGTGGAGGCGAGGAAGAGATGACCCAAACGCTGGACTCACGGTGCAGAATGACGAGGATTTATTGGAGCGGGTGAATGAACAAAGCAGGAACGGCAAGACTAACTAACTGACTGACTGAATGAATGAATGGCTGGCTGAATAACTGAATACAGACGGGAACGACAATAATGGCAACATCAACATCAATGACACGGCACTGGACTGGTGGAACTGGGGAACATAAATACACAGGCGGAATGATGAGTGATTAGAGACAGGTGAGTGAACAGCTGAACATAATGAACTAATGATAAATGGGAAGAGAACTAGAACATAATGCACAGAGTAAGGCTAACACAATTAAACAGGAAGTAGAACATGCAGAGAATGAACAATGAAGACGAACTGAAAATACCGGGTCAACGGCCCAGGAACCCTGACAGCATCCTGGTTTTAATGAGTGGTTATGCGAGTTATTGTCACCTTCCTATCAGCTCAAAGCTGTCTCATCATCAGATTCAGCAGATTCAGAATGCTTTATTAATCTCTGAGGAAATTATGTGGTTACAGTTGCTCCAAGACAATAAGAACAGTAACAGACTGAATTAAATTAAATAATACAATATATTACAAAGTTCACAAAATTGGGAAATAGCTCTACTATATACAAATAGCTCAATTATAAATATTTAGAATATTACAGAGATGAAATTTAATTCTGTAAAAACTGTTAAAAAAAATCTTGGCCGTACTGTACCTTAAAATAGAGGATTATCCATGGTATGAATCCATGGTATGAAACTACACACTCGGGCATTTTCACTGAGAAAACTGGATATTTTCTCTTTTTCACTCACTCTCTGTAACCCCTAGAGGTGATTTTATGGGAAACAATTTCTATATTACACCATCTGACATCAACATGCCATATTAAAAGTTACTTAAACTTCAGCAGGATGATCATGTCTATGTCCCTAAATGCACTCCGTTGCTACCATTAGACTGGCTTATTATATATTTGCATTATTGAGCAGCTGAAAGGGGGGAAGATACTTTAATAACATGCATGCTTAATGATCTTTGTGTTTACCTCTACAGGCAAGGTATACTACTTCAAACACAACACTAAGTCTCTTTTGAGAGTCTCTTTGTGAGACTTTGTCTGTGTGTAATGTTTTTACAGTTTGAAAATGAATAGCCCGACTACTTAAAGGTCTGGATATTAATTGAAATTGTAAGCCTAGGTAGTGATGGAACATGTTTTATAGTGAATAACATAACAAGTTTACAAATGAAAAATACAAATGTGCAAAAGGAAGTTGATTTATAGGTAATGTATTCATTTCACTGCTGAAAACAACTAGTAAAAGATTTCAGGTATGTTTACACACAAAGCTGCTTCATGTAATGCCAAACACGTGAGTGACACTAGGAGCAATTAAAGTCCAAGGGCACCTGTGGGTGTAAGAAAAACAACTGAAGAAAGGAGTGAAACAGGGAAAACAATCAGAGCCGCAATAATAAACGTGACACATTTACCCAGAATGAAGACAGACTTTATATCTAGTGACTGCAGAGCCAGCAGTACAACACTGATAACGCCTCTGTTACCTAAACATTTATTATTAAATTTGGCATCCATTCATCCATTCTCTTCTGCTTATCTTTATCACGGTCGCAGGGCTGAGGGATGGAGCGTATCCAAGGTGCCATATGGGTACAGTTGGGGCACAGGTCGCCAGTCTGTTTATTATTTAATTATATTGTTAATTGTGTTAGTTATTTAATTTTTTTTCAATAAATAGATTTGGCAATGAAGATAAAAATATACATGGTCCAAATCATTTTTGATATTTGAACCAAATGTGCATGTGTGGCATCTCTGTTGTTGGAATTTTGTGGTTTGGGGGCTGACAGCCCGCTTTCTCTTACACATATATAGTTACATCTATTGTTAAGAGGGCACATAATCTCAAACAGCTTCTCAGCATTGACAAGGAAGTTATTCCAAGGATACTTCCTTAATCCAGGGTCCAAAAAGCCATTGTTGGTTTGTTTAACGATCCTTATCTTTGTTGATTTGTAGCACGTGTACCCATCTTATTCTTTAAAAGCTGTGCTTCTCTGTCTGTTTTTGAACAAGTCTTGTTGGCTCATTGTCCTGCTTTTGTCTGAATTGCATCACTGACAGAGGAACAGCAACTTCAACAGTATTTGGAAAAGGTAGAAACATTTTTTAATGGTACACAAAGTTATTGTTAACTTTATTTTAATAAGACAGACAGAGATACAGTGTTTAAAGAAAGCCTCTCCTTTTATTTGTTTATGTATGTGTGCTTGCATTTCAATTTAGTGATTTTTTTTCTTATCTTCTTTTAAGTCAAGATCATTTTACATGTGAGTCAAGTCAATATGAAAAATGTTGACTTGAGTCAACTAACAATACTTTATTGACTACAGCTTCTCACACAAGACACTACAGTATATGATATTGAAACCATATTACAAAAGAGAAACTGCACATAAAATTGTGTGTGAGCACAGCATTTTAATAAAAAGGAAAATTACACTTTTGAGCAGTGATGATTAAAACAAATTTCAGAAATCTCTGCCATGGAAAAACTGCGAAAGAGGTATCCAGATTTTTATTTTTATTTTTAAAAAAAGCAGACTATCTTAATGAATGTTTTTAAATACAGGTAAGGAATCACAGAGAGTTGATTGTGTTCATCCAGTCACAGAATTTTAAGTGGGAAAAACATTTCCTCACCCATCGAGTCTCAGCTGACTGCAGGTTTACTCAAGCTTATAATATTATGCAAATCACTAATACGCACACTGTTGTGTCCTGTACTGTTTATAAGGTTGGGGAAACCTGCAGTCAGGTGAGGCTGCATGTTTGCAAAAATTTGGTGTTCTTTACTTTACTGAGAACTTTAATAACGATCACTTATCTCTCTCTCTCTCTCTCTCTCCAAAATATCTGTCTTTTTCACTGCAGCTATGCTGTCTTATTCAACCCCACCTCCTCTCTACCTGAGCCTCCTTCTCTTTCTGTCCTGCAACTCCGCTGTTCTTTCCTGTCAGACTGGAAACTACAGCCAGTGTAAGGCTGCTCCTTTTATACCAGGTCACAACCTGGTGGGGGAGGGATTTGATGTGGTCACTCTGCGACGAAAGGGAGCCTACGTGATTGATGTGAATACCTACCTCACACCAAGTGAAACATGTACTCTCTGCTCCAACCCGCTTCAAGGCAACATGCTGCAGAAAGTAAATAAAGATGCAACAACAAAGAGCCATTTGAACAGTAGCACACACTTTATGTGTACATGTTCATGATCTGTCTTCATTTTCAGCTGCCAGTCTCTGCAGTGGACTGGCGTGCATTCAGCCGATGCAGTGCCGATATTTACAGCAGCATCCACACCTCTGTTAGGTATAGCCTTATTATTATGTTATATTATTATGATTGCTTCACAGTTAGTGTCTTACTGAGAGAAGGTTAAATGTTGTGTGACAGTTGAGTCGCTATCTAAAAATCTATATCTGATTAGTTCAGTCTCTGGCAGTGATGAAATTACTGCTAGACACCTTTTCTGATGTATAAATTATCTTTATTCTCTTCATCATATTATTCAGAGCTAATCTAATTACAAAAACAGGTCCTCATCTGTAAATACTAACTGTTTAAAATAATGGAAATCATCTTTGAAATCAAACTGAAATTTATCTGTGATTCTTTACTGTGAATTGTGTTCACAGATCTCTGGTTGACACCTACACCTCCCAGGACAGTACTGACTGGAAGGTAGGGCACATTTCACAACAGTTATTTACATAAAATTAACATATTTTGGTATTATCAAATAATGTCAATGTTACAATAATGATAAACATGTCAATATAGATAGATTTTTTTTTTAAAGTATATGGTCTTAAGTCTTATTAGGAAGTTTTAACATCATATTTTAAATACTTTTTCAGATTTTTGAAAAATGGTCCCACCACCAACATGTGTTTTGCACTTTGAAACTGAGGCCATGTTTGAACATAAATCGAGATCTGTAATTTGGGACAGATAGATCAAATAATGTCTCATTATTGGCTGGCAAAAAAACAAAATCAATCAGTTGAACACACTAATTTATTTATTCTTTTTCTTATCTTTCATAACAGACTGGCCTAGATTTAGGGATATTTGTGGGAGGAAAGCAATCTGCTGTGTATAACTTTGCATCAAAAAGGGCCACAGAGGACCGCCACATCTTCAGCACACACAGGGTCACCTGCAACCATTACAGGTAGGCTGTGAATAACTCAGAATAGTCATATAAATTTGGGTTATGTTGCAATCTTTGTTTGAAAAGCTTCTGTTGAGATCATTTACTAATCTGTCTCTTTGTGTCCAGTTACCGAGTATCAAACAGTCCGTCTCTCAGCTCTGAGTTCAGTAAGGATTTAACCAAGCTACCACATTTCTACAACAGCTCCACCAGAGCTCAGTACAGTGAGCTTATACACACCTACGGCACACACTACATCCGCCAGGTTAAAGCACATGCTGTGAATTTTCTTATTATTCCTTATTATTATTATATTTCTTCGAAAAAATGATTTATAACACCGACTTTGCACCACATTGCAGATTCACCTTGGTGGTCGACTGAGGCGAGTCACAGCTGCACGAACCTGTCTGTCCTCACTGAATGGACTGTCCTCAAATGAGGTACTTTATAACACTTATTAAAAGCATAGCATTACTGAGGCACTTAAAATAATTTTATCTCAAAAATAGCGACTGAAAATGTAAGAGTAAGACTAATTGTTCTGGGCTTGGCTGCCCCACTCGCTCGCGGACGCAAGGGCGAGACCCATGGGAAGGGAGGACTGGGGTGGTAACCTGGGAACTGAGGACATCCTAAAGAACCAGACAGGGTGTGGGATCCCTGCCACAGTTGAAAGGCCTACATGAAAGGGGGCCGCCCAATTTTCTCCGCCGGCTAGATTCTGTGCGAAGGGGGCAGCGCCTCTAGGCTGTGCGTGTGTATGTGAAAGTGCGAGAGGTTGGTTCTCGATTGAAATTGAGTAGTTAAATTCACCACAGGTGACAGCCTGTATGGGAGTGGGCCCAAGTTCTTTTGCTGGCTCGATTCTGAGCTGAGATTGTCAACTGTTGCAGTTGACAGTCTGCCTGACAGTGGGGCTAAGTTCTTTCGCCGGTTAGACTCCGAGCTGAGTTCGTTGGCCCGCTGTAGTGCCTCTAGACTGCCTGGGTTAATTTTGGGCTTAGTAAATTAGGCTTAAAGTTGAATTTTGCATCTAAAACCGTGTGTGTGGGTTTTGCATAGCGAGACACGTGCTCTGTATAGTATGTTGGCTCATGTGCCTGCAGTTACCAGACTACATATTTCTATACATACAGGGCAGTACCTCTGTCATGAAAGGCCAAAGTTAACCCTGTTAAAGTTGTGCCATACTGAACAATAATGCCAATGATTTTTTGTTGTTGTTTTTGCTTTGTTTTACATAAACTTCTATAGTCCAATATTATCTTAGTTATTAGAAACTTCAGTTTTTCTTTAGTCCAGACTCTTACTGATCCTGTAATTAAGTATTCGATCAATAAAGCTATGATTAATATCTTAGTGACATAATTTGTAGCCTACATATTTCGTCACCATAATTTTCTGTCCATCCATCCTTCCGTTCTCTTCCACTTATCCTTATAAGAGTCACAGCTATCATAGGGTCATAGGTTGTCAGCCTAACGCAGGGCTAATTAACCCAATTTTTGAGACATAACATTACATAATGCTGCCAAAATTTAGATTAATGCTCAAATGGTTGACTTTACACAATAGAAAACAGAGAAGTAAGTAGAACAGTCTTTAGAGTTAAAATTGACATACATGTGGCACACATCTTGATGAACTGGATTTTTTTTTTAATCTGAGTCTGGATGTAAACACCTATTTTCTCTCATCTTTCAAAATTGGTTTGACAGTCCTTCATACACTCTATCATCTTCATTTATAATGTCATCATCTTCTCTCTCCACAAGACTGCTTGTGTGCTTTGTTAAGAGAAGAGCATATGCATGATTTAAGTTGGTTTTAATACAACAGCTTTGACATGTTTATGAAAGTGACGTGATCAGACAGCCCCGCAAAATCTTCACAAACTGTGTTTGTGTTTTTGTGTGTGTGTGTGTGTGTGTGTGTGTGTGTGTGTGTGTGTGTGTGTGTGTGTGTGTGTGTGTGTGT